CCACGCACATCCATAGATAGATTAATACAATGGCATCGATTTATTGTAAATTTGATATAATAAATTGGAGGAAGCTCGTAACCCTGCTACTAAGTCCAGGAAATCCGGGCTCGGCGCATTTAAAACCAGAAGATATTACTCCAATTTCATAGAACCATCTATTTATCGGTAACATCACCGGACCACCACTGTCACCCTGAAATAATTAGAAAAATACAGATTGAAACGAGGTTAAAAATCGGAAGTTGTTCAATTACCTCGCAAACATCTCTCCCACCGTTTCCACGTGTGCATATCAACCGATCATCAACGATGATTGAACTTGTGAACGCAGAAAAAGCCGCGGCTCAAGTTTGGGTGGTAACTACTGGTATTTGTACTTCTCTAAGTACATCGCTCCGTGGTCCATCTGCGTTAAAAAGATCGGAAATAATGGAGAATCGACTATCATTGATTGATACTCACTTAAATAAATAGTACCCCATCCTGCAAGGAAAGGCCTAGTGTTTACGAAGTCCCGTTCTGCAATCTTCCCCACAGGAAGACAAATGGGATGTATATTATCTAAAAATACATTGCTTAGAAGAGAACCAGGTATCATTGTCTAAGTGATATGGAATTTCAGAACTTCAGGCCTACACGTAAATTGTACATCACGCTCCAGTCTCAGGATAGCAACATCGTTTATATGCATACTCTTGTTGTATTCAGAATGAATGATCTTTTTCTCGAATCTCAAGTCAATGGGATGTGCTCCATCGTCGTCTCTCTTCAGATCCAAGTCCCCGAGGCGAACAACGACAAGGTCGTTACGTTCCGCGCAATGGGCAGCGGTTAATACGTGTCTGGCCGATATGAGAGAACCACCGCAATTCCATTCCAATTCAGAAGTTGGAGTTTTTTTAAATCCTAGTGCAGCCATCCAAGGCAATGCGTCTGAAATCAAGTTTTGTTGGGTATAATGAATTAATCACTGAATCAAGAGACGAAGTTTATAATGAGACATACTGAGTTTCGCTGGCATTCCACCGACTATCCTCGGGCGAAAGACATTACTGAAACCGCACTGAGGTGGAAGCAGAGGTCCGTATAAATTTCGTTCCGTCGAGCCTCCCGACTTGCCTGGGNGTTCTGGGACACCCTGTATAGAGATCAGTAGGTCTTCCATAAGGTCTTCTATTTTCTTTCTCTATCTGAGTATACAGTACTGCTAGTAACAACGAAATTGAGCCAACAAAAGTAAAAGAATTGATTTCTCGATTTAAAATAAAAAATAGGAACTGCTAAAATTTTGAGCTAAAAATTGGACTGAATATTTCTTCTTTTGTAAGCTATCGAATGTCGCAAACTGCAGTTCATTCTGCTCAAGGGCACTTTTGACCAGCGGTGCTGTGAAAATGATCCGCCAAGCCCGATAACTGATAGTATACAGCAGGTAATCTCCGCTAGGATTATACTCGAGTCTTCGGGTCGAAAACATTCAAGTCTTTAAAGGGTTTTCAAATATCTATTGCAAGGTGAACATGTTCTTTTACGGGAGAGTAACGGTAATTTCCAACGACGCGAAGAAATGCAAACTATTGGTCTTGCGTCCTGTCTTACATTTTTACAGCAGCCTATAAATACATGCG